AATCAATTCTCCAAAATTCATTTTTATTTCAATTTTGGAGAATTGATTTTGAATTACCACCAACAGTGAAAAGAAATGTACGAAAGATAGAGAAAATTCGTGTTAGAATTATTAATCTTACTTTTTCGGTCATATTTAATAATATATGTCTACAGGAAAGACTGCTACCAAAATATATATATATATATATATATATATATATATATATATATATATATATATATATATATATATATATATATATATAACCACGACCACAACCTGTATACCCAACAATTAGCTTGCCTGCCACTCCTCTCCTGTAGCATAAACCACAAAACATTTGCCACAAGGGATTACCAGACACACAAGTTCTCTCTCCAGGAACAGAGACATTTCCACGCTCGTAACACACGTAATATTAACAATTACATCATTCGTTTTGGTAACAAATGGGGAAAAAAATAAAAATGTCATGGTATTCCATAACTTTAAATTACAAAAATAATCTATACAAATGATTGCACAATGAATCCTTTATTTTTCCTCAGGAGACAAGAAAGATGTAAATCACGTGAATTAAACCATTAAAACTGTTCTTACCTTAGACGACGTTATTTGCAAGTTGTTATTGCACTGCATATGTGATTTATCCTATTTCTTTATCACTCAGGCACCAGCTATACCCTCCTCTTATAAGACAAGAAAGCACTGATATACAATTATAGTATTATCAATATTATCTGATATAATTATCAAGTTAGGAGTGAAAAATTAATGCCAATTTATGATTTGCAACACATGTGCTAAATATTGCAACCAAATGCCCTTTGAAGTTACCATCTTTATGGAGTGTGGAGCCTCATCTGGGACCCCGGCCACTCCGGCATGTATATCGTTTATGTATACACACTGCAACTCACAAGCAGGTTCTACAATAGACTGTGCATTCTTGTTTACAGTCTTTAATAAATATGTGAGACAAAATTCAAGAAGACAAGATGTGTACTTGACTCAGTTCCACACAGACAGACAGACTCTCTAACACAGCAGAGATGCTGTGGCTGGTCCGTGTATAATCTATAAACTTCAATAAATAACGTCTCCCCCCCCCCCCACGTTCCTCCTATTGTAGCTTCTCTACAAGTCGACTTGAGAATGGTCCAGGACGGACCGAAACGTCGTCGTCACTTCACTTTCTAGTGTGTGGTCTGGTCAACTTACTTTAGCCACGTTATTGTGACTCCTCGTCTGCTCTCAACAAAACCCTCCTTCAATAATAAACTGCCAAACAAGCGATGCTATATATGTGACACCGAGACAGCTGTTGGAACTGCCAAACAAGCGATGATATATATGTGACACCGAGACAGCTGTTGGAACTGCAAACAAGCGATGATATATATGTGACACCGAGACAGCTGTTGGAACTGCAAACAAGCGATGATATATGTGTGACACCGAGACAGCTGTTGGAACTGCCAAACAAGCGATGATATATGTGTGACACCGAGACAGCTGTTGGCTTTGCAAGAACAGAATAATTTCACCACTCACCTCACCAGAAATATGCAATGTTGCATTTCGGCCACAGGTCAACACATTCTCTCGGATTATCTTGCGGTTATCTTGAGATGATTTCGGGGCTTTTTTTTAGTGCCCCCGCGGCCCGGTCCTCGACCAGGCCTCCTCCCCCAGGAAGCAGCCCGTGACAGCTGATTAACACCCAGGTACCTATTTTACTGCTAGGTAACAGGGGCATAGGGGTGAAAGAAACTCTGCCCATTGTTTCTCGCCGGCGCCTGGGATCGAACCAGGACCACAGGATCACAAGTCCAGCGTGCTGTCCGCTCGACCGACCGGCTCCCAAAGTGCATGAACAAATTATCTATCCTATTTCTATCTGTGATATTTTGTACCATTATCAGCCCAACTGTTCAGTTCCATGACTCGAGACGTGTTTCATTCACTCTCAGCTTGCAAGCTCGTCCTCCAAACAAAGACCCAAGGTCCATTCCATCCACCCGCCAACCCCCCCCCCTGTTTATGGATGAAAACGGTTTACACACGACTCACAACTGTTGACGTTCGAACACTTCCGGAACAAGTGCTTCACTGACGAATTTTGTTCGAACCACAACGCTATAAATGCTTCACCCACGTACTACAAATACAAATAATCGCCAACAGAACCTAAACACCTAACCTAACCTATGCCTATTTATACACAATATTCTAATATATTATAATATTAATTTATACTTGAGAAAATTCCTATTTTGAATGAACAGCATGTTAAAATTGATGAATGCGTCTTTGGGGGGTCGCGCGCTGGATGGAATGGACTTGAGTCGAGGACAGGTTGCCTCACAAGACAGGAAGCGTAACACAGAAACTGAAAGACAAGATTAGACGGAGACAAAAGAATGAGGAAAAGAAGAGAAACAAGGAAATAGATAAGAAAGACGAAGAATAAACAAGGAGAAAAACCGAGATAAGAAAATAAATAGGTGGAGAAGCGATGAACAGTGAGACGGAGAACAGGGAGACGGAGAACAGGGAGACGGAGAACAGTGAGACGGAGAACAGGGAGACGGAGAACAGTGAGACGGAGAACAGTGAGACGGAGAACAGGGAGACGGAGAACAGGGAGACGGAGAACAGTGAGACGGAGAACAGGGAGACGGAGAACAGTGAGACGGAGAACAGTGAGACGGAGAACAGTGAGACGGAGAACAGTGAGACGGAGAACAGGGAGACGGAGAACAGGGAGACGGAGAACAGGGAGACGGAGAACAGGGAGACGGAGAACAGGGAGACGGAGAACAGGGAGACGGAGAACAGTGAGACGGAGAACAGTGAGACGGAGAACAGGGAGACGGAGAACAGGGAGACGGAGAACAGTGAGACGGAGAACAGGGAGACGGAGAACAGGGAGACGGAGAACAGGGAGACGGAGAACAGTGAGACGGAGAACAGGGAGACGGAGAACAGGGAGACGGAGAACAGGGAGACGGAGAACAGTGAGACGGAGAACAGGGAGACGGAGAACAGGGAGACGGAGAACAGGGAGACGGAGAACAGGGAGACGGAGAACAGTGAGACGGAGAACAGGGAGACGGAGAACAGGGAGACGGAGAACAGGGAGACGGAGAACAGGGAGACGGAGAACAGTGAGACGGAGAACAGGGAGACGGAGAACAGGGAGACGGAGAACAGGGAGACGGAGAACAGGGAGACGGAGAACAGTGAGACGGAGAACAGGGAGACGGAGAACAGGGAGACGGAGAACAGTGAGACGGAGAACAGGGAGACGGAGAACAGTGAGACGGAGAACAGGGAGACGGAGAACAGTGAGACGGAGAACAGTGAGACGGAGAACAGGGAGACGGAGAACAGGGAGACGGAGCATCAGACAAGAGATAACCTGCTGAGACAGATTTGCGAGAAGAGGAGAGAGAAACGGTAAGAGGGAGAGACAGGGAAACAGGAAGACGGTGCTTGGAAGAATGAGACGGGAAGAAGTAGAGATAAGCAAATTGACAGGTTCAGCAGCAGCCGGAGGTGACAGTTTATCATTGTCTTCTGTCTCATTGTTTCTCATTGTTTCTCATTGTCTATTGTTGTGTATCTTCTTTATGTCTATTGTTGGGTTTCTTCTCACTGTCTATTGCCGAGTCTCTTATTTCTGTCTATTGTTGGTGTCTTCTGTCTATTGTCCACTTTGTCTTTGATGCCTAATTGTTGGACTTCTCATCTCTGTCCACTGTTTGGCCTCTTCTTGCTGTCTATTGCTGGTCCTATGCTGTCTATTGCAGAGCCTCGTCTGTCTATTACTGGATCTCTCTTCGATATCTATTGCCAGTATGTCTGTTACATCTAATGTCTTTGTTACACTCTCATTGTTTCCCATATGCAGTGTTCATTTAATATTTGCTGTGTGTGTGTATATATATATATATATATATATATATATATATATATATATATATATATATATATATATATATGTCGTACCTAGTAGCCAGAACTCACTTCTCAGCCTACTATGGAAGGCCCGATTTGCCTAATAAGCCAAGTTTTCATGAATTAATATATTTTCTCTAATTTTTTTCTTATGAATTGATAAAGCTACCCATTTCATTATGTATGAGGTCAATTTTTTTTATTGGAGTAAAAATTAACGTAGATATATGACCGAACCTAACCAACCCTACCTAACCTAACCTAACCTATCTCTATAGGTTAGGTTAGGTTAGGTGGCCGAAAAAGTTAGGTTAGGTTAGGTTAGGTAGGTTAGGTTAGGTAGGTTAGGTAGTCGAAAAAACATTAATTCATGAAAACTTGGCTTATTAGGCAAATCGGGCCTTGCATAGTAGGCTGAGAATTGAGTTCTGGCTACTAGGTACGATATATATATATATATATATATATATATATATATATATATATATATATATATATATACACACACAGATTTTCTTCTGTCCTCCATGGACAGAGTTAGAGATCTGCTAAACATATACATAGTTCAGTGATGTATTAAACAATCAACCACAGAAGGTGATTGTAGTGCTTTAAAAAAAAATGTTAATCCATCCTACACACATAAATACATAGCTACACAGGCTTACGCCTTTCCTACATAAACAGCGTCCCCAGGTGTCTTTGACATGGTGTCAATAATGTGTGTTAACAAAGGTGAAATGCAGTTCTGACCAACATACATATATATACTGTATGGCAGTGTCAGACCACGGAGGAAAAATTGAAACAGGAATTTCCTTAAGTACTTTCGTATATTAATACATCTTCAGAAGGAGTATTCCTCTTTCTGAAGATGTATTAATATGCGAAAGTACTTAAGGAAATTCCTGTTTCAATTTTCCTCCGTGGTCTGACACTGTCATATTTTTAATGACATTTATTTTCGTGATTTACACACACATATATACTGTATACATATATACACACATACACTGGACGATGATAGTGTTGTATAGTGGAAAGAGGATTGTCTGTGGGTGTTGTGGGGAGAGAGGGGGAGGGGAGGGTGTATGGGGGGGGGGGGCCCAGACCCCACACCCAGCCTGGGTGTGGGGGTAGAACATGGATGATGGGGACGGGGGGGCCCACACGACCCACCCAGCCTAATGATATAGCAGACAGGAGGTCTGAGCGCGGGGTATCATTTGCCAATGTCGCTATGATTGCCTTTGCTGTATCTGTCCCCCGCCCCCTTCCCCGTCTCCCCCGCCATCTCCACCCTCTCCCCCACCCACTTGGGAGAAGGGGTGAGAGGAGAGAGGAGAAGGAGAGAGGAGGAGGAGGGGCAAGAAGAAGAGGAGGACGAGGACGGAAGGGAGACAGGATGAGGTACAAATCTTGATTTAAGATAAGCAGCCCCAGACAACCTGCTTGCTTGCTTGTGGAGATGATGACCGTTGTGTGTGTGTGTGTGTGTGTGTGTGTGTGTGTGTGTGTGTGTGTGTGTGTGTGTGTGTGTGTGTATGTGCGTGTGTGTGTGTGTGTGTGTGTGTGTGTGTGTGTGTATGTGCGTGTGTGTGTGTGTGCGCGCGCGAGCGCGTGCGTTGAATTTGTTGTGAATTCTCATGGAAGACGTAGATCTAAGGACAGCCCAGGTTTCAAGCTGAAATGTTAGTGTGAAATTTTTATTTAATTCTTCACAGACTTTCTCATCATTCTCTGTGTGACCACCTTCTCTTTTGTATAGCTTGATTACTAAATCAATTACCAGCATCTTCGAACCAACGGCTACATAGTAAGTTTAGGCAGATCCTTAGCCTTGGATGCTATATCGTTCTCATACTGTTTCTCTGCTGCTCTCTATAGAGTTGTTGTATAATCATTCCTCTTCCAGCAGTATGTAGGTTGTGGTTCACACCTGTTCTATGTTTTGCTTCCATGGTTTCCTACTTCTGTTCCTGCCTTTAAACATCGACTGTAAAGCCATGGGGTAATTTTTTGTCCCCTTTGACTCCTTTATTCCCTCATAAATCTTCCTTCGACGACTTCGTGATTGCTATTTATGTAGTCCCTCGTGTCGTGTGTCTTTTCCCCTCTGAGGTCTGTTTCTCAAGGTGTTCTCTCTAAGAATTCTATTATCTTTGTGGTATTTTACCACCATAAAGATGGGGAGATAGTCTTCCACGCACCTCCGCTCGTCCTCTGCGCCACAGCCTTCATAACAACTACATAATCAAAGACCAATATATAATGGTCACTTGTCCCCCCAATTGGTGTTTCATCCTCGATGCTCTGCACGTCCAACTCGCCCTGTTTGAAGGACAGGTCTAGCCTCGCTGACTGGTCCTTCTCTCTTCTCTATGTTTCTCTCTAGAGTGTTGCGTTAGGAAGTTCTTTTTCTCTTTGTACCAGCTTCACTTTCTATGTCTTCTCTTCTCCTTCAGTCATGGACAAGATTGGTAACCATTCCTTTCCTTCCCCCCCCCTGTCCCATCCCAAATCCTTATCATAATCCCTTTCAAATGCTATATATATACTCGTAATGGCTTGGCGCTTTCCCCCTGATAATTCCCTCCCTCCTACCGGGTCGATCGGTTACTAAACTTGTTTATGACTAAGATCTCCCAATACTATCTACTCTGCTCTCAATCTAAGGAATATTTCAACCAAACTTTAGAAGATATTTACGCAAGCTCTGTATTCTCGTATTCTGTTCTGGGACTTTTGTTCTAATCTGAGAAATTGTAATTTATAGTCACAACCACTTGTTTTCATCCACTAAAATGATTCTCGTGAAAGTTTACATAACTGGAATCCTTCTCAACATCAATCAATCCTTCTCAACATAACTGGAATCCTTCTCAACATCAATCAATCTTTCTCAACATAACTGGAATCCTTCTCAAGAGATTTGAATCTCTTCAAATCTCTTATTTTTATATTTTTTTTTAACTAGCAGAGCCACTCCTCCCTCTACTTATTTTGTTCTCTATGCTATCTGGTATAATACGGGAACAATTACATTAGTGTTCATTTTAGCTAGTTTAGTTTCTACTATTGCTATTACATCTCGATTTGTACCATCAGTTTGAAGGTATAAATTGGAAGTGGAGAGTGAAGTAGTGGTGGTTAGTGGGGGTAGGTAGTTAAGAGGGGAGAGTCGAGGGGTCTTATTGGCAGAGAACTGGTCATGGAGGTATGTTGTGGGGGGCAGGAATTGGCGAATTGGTAGCGGGGGTTAGTTATGGAGGTGTGTCAATTAATGCTTGGTGTAGTTAGATGCTTGTCTGGAGGCTGCTGGAAGTGACTGGGGAGGTGAGGGAGGCTATCTTGAGATGATTTCGGGGCTTTTAGTGTCCCCGCGGCCCGGTCCTCGACCAGGCCTCCACCCCCAGGAAGCAGCCCGTGACAGCTGACTAACACCCAGGTACCTATTTTACTGTTAGGTAACAGGGGCATAGGATGAAAGAAACTCTGACCATTGTTTCTCGCCGGCGCCTGGGATCGAACCCAGGATCACAAGTCCAGCGTGCTGTCCGCTCGGCCGACCTCCTCCCTATAGGGGGAGGATATAGTTGTAGGGTTACTTGGTTACTCTCTGTCACCACTGATTTTCGTTGTTGTTTCCTCTCAGTCTTTTTTTGAGGGCTAGTTGTTGCTGGGTAGTGGTGTTGGATCCTTCCTCATGCTGCCCCTCTTCTCTATACCCCCCTCCATCCATCACCTCTCTTCCTCCCTCCTCCTACCTGTCCTTTCTCTGGGCCCTTCTATCTTCCTCTTTATTTCCACTTTACTCATGTAATTTGTTATGTATGCCTTTCTGTAGACTTCTAAAAGCCCTCTGGATTCTTTTATCTCATCATAATTCTTGGTGGCACCTTATTTATAAACACCAGCTTTAGTGGTCTAATTATTCTGGGTTCGTGTGCATATGACCCCAGTCTGCACTCGTAAATCCTTCTCAGCTTTGTATTGGCGCAGTATTCCAGGGATGTGATGGCTGCTTCTCTCTTTTTAGGATCAAATTTGCGTTCCTCTCATGTCTCTGGAAGGCCTTGAATAATCAGTGTTCTCTCTCTCTTATTAGAGTATCCTCCTTGTGTGCTCTTTTGTATTGGAAGTTTGTAGTTTGGTGAGCAACGTCCATAATTGTTTTGTCATCTACCTTTTTTTTGTACCAATTTGGGCCCCATTTATCCCCATTTTCAAGATTCAGGCCTCTAATTTACCGACTACGTATTTAACCTCTTCCTCACTTTCCCTGTCAATAATAACTAACTGCCTTGGGTTTTTTCCCGTATTTCATCTCTCATCTTAATAAGTTCTCTCTCAATTTTTGACTTTTATTCTCCCTGGAAGTATTGTCCCTTTCTTCTATTTCTCATCTGATTCTGCCTTCTGGTTCAGTAAAACTCTCTTGCCACGGCTGTTTATTTGACTACGTCTCTGGCTCTGACTTCTTGTAATACCTATTCAATTGCT